ACCAACCGCAGGGTCAAAACGTCTCATATTGAGATTTTTACTCTACACTATTGTCTTCTGTATGCTGTCTGATAACAGACACCCGGCCATGACAGTCACAGTCTGACCACCGGCTCTTTTCAGCTGACTGACTTAATAAAAACACTTTTTTTAAACATACAACAAAAAAAAAAAACTATTTTGAGCAGATAAAAAGTTTAAAGTGTTCTTTGGCTGGAAATCCCCCTTTGCTATCGCCCCAGTCTGTAGTCAGCTGCAACCCAGTGACCTCTTTCAGGGCTTCTTAGGGATCCAGGGTACTGATCAAAGGCTCTTCAGTGGGGCAGATGACTTCTCACTTAATGGCTGGGATGGGGTCATGTGGATCATGTGGAAGGGATCGCTCTCTTCAAGCCACCCAGAAGTGGACACAAGGAGGGAGATGAGCTGGAGAGAGTGAAGGGAAATTCCAATTTTGCACAATGCGGGTCTTTTTTGGTTGTTTCGGAATTGACCTTAATGTCGGCCGATCACTCTGCAGTAAATCTTCATCGGACGAATGAAAACGCATAAACAAATTACTTGTACTCAAATAATCGGAAATGTTTCGACCCAACAAGAGAAGATTATTTGGAACAGCCAACTGGTCGAAAACTAAAATCTGAACAAGTGTCTGTTGCTCCCAGATCCACTCTACAGTTGTGCATGCCAACCGTTTTAAGATGCAATGAAAAAGATTATAAAATACTTTAAGTCAGTACAATCTAAAAAAATAAAGCAGTTATTTTGCCAATACTAGCTAAAAAAAAGAAAATCTGTACTCCCGTTTCTTTATGAAAAATATTGTATTAATATGATCTTCAACGATACGAATTGAAATGGAGAAAAAACCCACAAGAAATAGAAAATGCTCATGTTTTTTTTAGAGACTTAATGGATCCTGGTTAGTCAGACTGTTCTTAAACTACGTGGACCAACAAACCCTGCAATGCTTCTCAAGATTTTTTTTTTTAGCACTATTTTTTAGCAATAGTCTCAAAGAAATTGAAGGTTTTTTTTTTCCTCTTTTAGCTCCTTGTTTGGAGCTTTTTGTACCCGTACCAATGTTGCTCGTGTATACTGAATGCTCGTCACATCTTTAACCTTTAACTTTTAAAGCAGTTAATCCATCTCAAGCCCTTCAAATAAATGTATTTGGGAATTTACCAGCTGAGCCATTGCGTAGAACAAAACAAAGAAAAGCCACAAGACACCTTAACATAATATGTGGGGTAAAAAACAATGTCTTGTCTTTTTTTTCCCAAAACACCAACTTTTAGCTTGCGTATAATATTTTTCAATGCATTAAAAAAGGGATGATTGGTTGTAATGTTCAATCCTCAGAAGGCGTCCCCTGGGGACTGATCCGTGCCAACAGCAGCTTCTGCCTGTTGCAAGGCGCACAATGGATTCCAGCGACTAAAACCCGAGCCATGTTCATTTCCACAAAGGACGCTCTTCAAACGGAGCCTACGGCAGCAGCAGTCTTATCGTCGTCAGGTTAAACGACAGGAGCAGAGACGCGCCTCGGCGGGAATCGAATCAAGCTGGAATCTAAAGAACTTCTGCTATGGTGCGGACACCTTTTTCCACCCAGACGCTTCCTTTGAAGCATCTGGTGGAAAATGAGAGATTTTAATGTCACCGGGTAGCCGAACAAAAGCAAGGAAGGATTTCTGACTTCCTGCTTCATCTCCTTCAAAAGGATAGGTAAAAACAAACCACGTGCGTTTCTGAATCAACTTTAAACATATGACACATCTTACAGAACACGTTGATGGGAGGTTACCCTTAGAATAGAGTTCACCTAGATCTATAGCATCTAAACACAGCCACAGGGGGTCAGCGGGTCACCAGGTGACCAACAGCAGAACTGAGTGGAAAGTTATGTTCCAGTAAGACAGCCAACCTCACCAGTGGATGTTCTTTGGGAGCGAGCCCATAGATACAAGGACACGTTGAATTCCTGTGAGAAGAAGCCGGCTTTTGCAAAGAATCTGAAGAATCTTAAAGGCCAAACTGTTGTTTGACGATTATTCTGTAGCAACTCCATGCCGAAGGTGCCAAACCCAGAAAGAATTTAAATGACGTGTTCCCTAAATGACGCTTCCTCAACAACAACATTGTTCTAGGTTGGAAATATTTCATTACCAAGGCCCAAAAATCCAAACAACAGATCAAAACTGACATTTCTGTATCTGTGGGGTGCCCCACACACCCCCCCCCAACGGAGCAGTGATGGAGCTCTGCTGGGCGCTCCACATCACAGATGCGTCACATAATTCAGTGGGAAAATGTATAGATTCATATTTAATAGAATTTCAGGCATTGAACTTTTGATCTTTTTTCAAAGAGCAAAAGCAAATGTCTTCATATGTAGAGAAAACACACTGATAAATAGGTCCAAACACAAAAAGATGGCCCAAAGCATCCACTGACCGCTTACTCAGTTAGCCAACAGTCTTTGAATGCAGCTCCGGACTTACTACAGCTCACCCAAACAAAATGCAGCAGAACAAACTCAGTCTCTGGGACTTGTTTTAAAAAAAATGGCATTGTGGGATGCTGGTCACCACGGCACGTGCCGATGAGGAGGCTAACATACCCTGGTCATCGGACTGTCCACCTGCCTTACACGCCAAATTGGCCATTCAGGACACTCCGCCTCTCCACAAATAAACCCGGGTTGAGGGATGAAGATGGCTGCTCTATTAGAATGTGAGGCTTTGACCTCATCCGGGTGTTGTTTTACAACGAGCCTTCAGGGTAGCGGCCAGTGCCACTCCGCTGTTCAGGAGGGGAAACTTGGTGTGCGTCCATCCAACAGCAACCAGCTTCAAACAAGGGCTAGATTTTTGTTTTGTTTTTTTAAGAAGGGTCTCTGGTCACTTTGTAAGCCCACTGTTCAAACCTGAATACACTTGTCCTTTTAAACGGCTGGACAACCCAGTTTTCGTTTCCGATAGCAGGCCGTGTCATTTAAACGCACAAAGCAATAAGTAAATAAATTGGAGGCATGATTACACTCTCAAATTATCGTCAAATCGGATGAGCTTTGCATTGCTAGTCTCCCTTTAGATCAGAAAGGGAAGGGCTCTTTATACTTCACATCCAGGAGAAAAATCTTGTTTTCAATTGAAAGTAAACTTCATGAATGGGGCTCAAACAGACACACCAGGACTCAGCAGGAAACGCTTTAGTCAAAGCTTTAAAAAAAAATCCATCTGTAGAGTCTTCCAACAGCTCTGCAGTAGAAAGTCAGTCCTTTTAAACCTCTATGAATAATTTAAAAAATGGATTCTCTCTTCCAGCACTAAAGGTGTTAACTGGGATTGGCGTAGTGAGGTTGATACGGAATGGGATCATGAGGGAGGGAGATGGATGGATAGAAAGTCCTTGCGCTCTTCCTCCGCCTCGCAGTTTGAAACAAAAGATCTCCGAGCTCGTGCCTGAGCGAGCAACGCTTAGAGTTCTGCTTTAGACAGCTTTGCCACTTACATAATAACCTCAATGAAATGTTAATGTCAGCTCACGGCACGGTCTCCAGTGAGTGAAGCAGAAGCAGGAAAATAGAAATAAAAAATGTAAAAATCAATCAAGCGGATTGTCAAGATGACTGTTGAGGCATTTCAAAATCCCTTCATCTTTTTCCTGGTAGGTCGCCGTCACTTTGGCCTTTCGTGTGGAGACTCGCCACAGTCAGGCAGGCATGGCTCTGCACCTCAGAGGTAGGGGTGGGGGGATGGTGGGATGGTTTGAGATGGAGTCAGGACCTTGGGGGTACTGGTAATCTGGCCTGGCCTGGCTGAGGCCATGCGGGCCTGTTTTAACATGTCAGGTGGTTCAGAAAAAGCCTTGTTTCTGTTCACACTTAAGGCCGGACAGCGGTCTCCCTTTGGGTGGTTTTCAGCTCCAACACAAACCCGTGCAGGGTTCAGAATAGTGCACATCCACCTAAACTGCTCCACTCTTGATTCTGTATCATATCAGATGCCATCACTTGCCCTGATCTTAACCACATAAAAGAAACCGGCCATTCAACCGACAGCCTTCTTAAAATAATGGTATAATGACTGTTAGGGACTGTGAAGGTGAAGATCCAGACTTCCTACAGCTGGTTTGTTAGCTACTGAGGCTAACAGCAGCATCACCAACGCGTTTCCAAATCTAGTTGAGAGCAGACAAACATTCTAGAGTCCCGCTGTACTAATAAAAAATGTTTAAAAAGCGGCCCTGCCCCGCCAATCGGCAATTGGGTGATGATGCTAGGAGCCCAAACCCCCTGACGCACATCCAAAGACATGACCCCCAACCAAATACACCAAAGCTATTCTGCAACAGCAACACAAGAAAAACAGAGCCTATAATCGAGCAGCCACACTGCGACACCGAACCCATCGGCAGGCAGACGGTGCCCGGAATGGATAGAGCTCCCGGGAGGGGGTGGGGGTGGGGGGGGGGGGGGTGATGCTATCCGCATGGGCCAGTGCGTCACGTTCACCCAAGCTTCTGGCTGTGACTGACCCCCCCACCCCTCCTCCAAAGCCCCAGATGTGGCGTCCAGCACAGGCGAAGCAACATCTGTGAGCGCACATTTACGCATTATGTAAGGAGGCAGCCTGACATTTGTCCGTAGTGGCGGCGATTGAGGGGGGGGGGGGGGGGGGGGTGGGGGGGGGCGAAGTGAGGAAGAAGGGAGGAGGAAGGGAGGCTGGGGAGCCTTGAGCCTCCAGCGGAATTGACCGAGTCGGTTCATTTTCTCGGAGGATAACGCGCGTTATGTGGTCTGACGTTAGAAACCAGCTGTGGGGGGGGTGAGGAGGGGTGGGGGGGCTGCAGCAGACGACCTGACAGAGAGGCTGACAGAGAGCAGACCGCAGGACTGGAGGGAGAGAGGGACATTTGACACCCCCTCCGTTTTCGTTCCGATGACAGCGCGGCGCGTACGCGGAGCGAGAGTCTGAATGAAAGGGAACACTCACCTCCTCTTCCTCCTCTTCCTCCTCCTGCTGCTCCGTAAAACCCCTCCGCCACAGACAGACCCGCTTCTTTCTTTCTCTCCTTTTTCTCTGTCACGGAAGAGCAGACAACCCCGTGCGCCTCCTGGCCAAAAAACAAACTCAGGCAAAAACCGTCCTGCGTTAACGATCCGTAGCGCGTATCCTCCGCACGCTGCAGATACTATCCAGTTTTTTAGGTTTTCCTTCTTCTCTCAGATCCCACCTTTTTGGATATATCAGAGTGTCGTAGTCCTGGTGAGCTTCTGTTCGCGTCCCTCCCGGTCACGTCGTCCTCCTCCTCTCACGGCTCCTCTCGCTCTACTCCCTCTCTCGCTTTTTTTCTTCGCGTTCCACAATCGCTTGCATGTGTCGTGAGTGAGTGAGCCAGTGCGTGCGTGCGTGCGCCCGCGACGCGCGTCCATGCGCGACGTAGGGGTGGGAGCTTTATAGCGGCGATAAGGGGTGGGTGAGAGGGGGTGTGTGTGATTCGGGAAGACGCCTCCGGTGTAATTGTTTTTTCCAGGGAAGAATTGCCTATTCAGAATGGATTTCGGAGAGGTGCTTTTTTCTACGCAGTTGGTAGCGGCTTATGTCACTCTGTGCATGACTGACGTGAGAGTGGGGTGTGGCCAAAAGTGACCTCTGTAGTAAAGTCCCCAAACCCCAGTCATGAACACACCCACAGATAAGATATATCTATATATATCTATATATCTATGTATCTATGTATAGATATATATAGATATATAGATATAGATATATAGAGAAAGATATGTATATATAGAGAGAGACAGAGAGAGAAAGAGAGAGAGAGAGAGAGACAGAGAGAGAGAGAGAGAGAGAGAGAGAGAGAGAAATACATATATACATACATATATACTGTTTTTTTATGCGATTATCTGTTTTTCTTGGACACGACTCATCCTTACCGCCATCACTCGCCAGAGTGTGAGCAATATCCATCTGTATTTTGTCCAACTAACGTGTAAATCTTTGTTTAACATGACAAATGCATAAAAAAGTATTATTTCATCCTGCAGAAACGGGTGGATGCGTCCCACAGTGGTTAATGAAGAGCTCACTTAGGCCAAGCATGGTAGGAATGACAAGCAAGAGGTTTCCAATCACACGCTAAAGTGGAGGTCTTAAAATTAAGTTAAGTCCCTGAACCTTGGATTAGTTGAATACAACAAATGTTGCAAATACTATGTCAACATGATGCTTTCTGTGTTGCAGTAGGACTTCATTTTTATGGGGTCTGGTAATGATAATGGTTGCTCTTGGTTGTTTTGGTGGTGTTGTTGGTTCTTTAAATGTGCTCTGCATGGGAAAAGACTGCACAAAGAAGAGAAAAGATTTGTGTTTATTGCTTAAAACATTAAGCAATAAGCACTGTTTCTTGGTGATTCATATATTCTGTTAGCCTTTTAAAGGACCGCATTACCCAACTGGTTGAAAAATTTGTCATTTTAGGGGCCTGAGAATAGTACAGACTGATACCTCCACAAGTGAATAAATGTGACCCAAGTATGAGCCTATTGGTCCAGCTCCACATAAAGAAACTGGGTCTGATCGAATAACCAACACTGGAAAATTTCCTCTCTAGTACCATATACTGTTAAGGACACCGACACAAAATCTAAACGACATACATTTCACATTTGCATATACATTTGCATAGCAACTGGAAAAAAGTCTGTAACTCTTGCAAATGACAGCACAGGTAAACAATTAATTTAACTGAAACTGAAGTCTCTGTTAGCAATAAATGGTCCTCCTAATTATTAAAAATTCCCACGTGGAGTGTTCCTATGGATATTTATTTCCAAAAGCCAGGTCTGTGGTATCTCTGACCCTTTCTGTAGTGTCTTCGGGGTACAGTTCCTTGTGGCTTTATAATAATCTTCATTTGTGGGGAGTGTGTGTGGAGATGATGCCATCACCGGCTCAAATCAGTTTTCCTTGTTTCTTTAGCTGGTGTTAGGATGAAGTCGACCTTCTTTTTTTTCACTCAAAGGGAAACGTCTAAAACAGCTTATGAATTGTCTGCTGTGACATCCAGTCAAGGAAGTGAAAATAAGAAATTGAGTGTCATCGAGGTCAACAAACCATCAGACACACACAAGGGACTGCTGCTTTCTTTCAATAATAGATTCTTTAACTCCCAAACCATACCCAGTTGGTCGTGTTTTGGAGCATAGGAGCTACACCCCCAGATATAGATGGGAAGTGCCCTGTTTAATGTACCTGGACACTCAGTGTACTAGTATCACAAGTACTTGAAACTTTAACCTGCTGCAAGGCTTTCTCCAAGGAAATCTGATCTTGAACCTTGCGGTTTCCAAATGGGATGACTATTTTACTTTAATGATACTTTCCAAGGAACGCCTCGGGATCCCCCCGGAGGAGCTGGCTGAAGTGGCCGGGGAGAGGGAAGCCTGGGTTTCCCTGCTCCGGCTGCTGCCCCCGCGACCCGACTTCGGATAAGCGGTGGACAATGGATGGATGGATGGATGGATACTTTCCAAACATGCAATATTTTTGTTCTTGGATGATGATTGGTTTGGGCACAAAAGTCCCTTAAGTAGGGTTAGGAAGAAATCATGTCACTGATTTCCCTCCATAACAATAGTAGGCATTTGAATACATTTATCCACTACTCATTATCATAGTCGAATAAATTGTTTGCAACTTTGTTATCTGTCAGATCCCCTCTGTTTGGTTTTTAGGGTTATTATGAACTGGAGGGAGACCCTAGACTTTGTGGTGTTGTTTGAGCTTGTCCAAAGCAGTTTTTGCATGGCTGTATGCTGTGCTGAAGGTAGGTTGCTAACAAAAAGGAATATCTATATGAATAAAGGTTTTCCCAGAAGAACATTGCTCTATGGCAAGTGGAATTGTTTTACTTACTTAACTTGCTAGTGGTTTTAATGTTACAGCTGATTTACAGTTGTTTTAAACTACATCAATCAAAACATCTGTTGTTTAGATCATGCTTTAAAAGTCACGAGGGTTTTAAAACCCACTAATCCACACACCATCATCACTGCCATCTAGCCATTTTTAGTCGGTGTTCATATTTCACTCAATGAGTTGATTGAGATAAACGCCAACAAAAGGTTGCACAGCTGTACAGAAAACCTAAAATAGATATGACTCTTGTGTTGACTTTCCTCAAATAAAAAGGCTCAGTTACAAAAATAGAGTGAATTCTTATGAAGGGGGAGAGATATATATTCTGGGTCTTAACTTCTAAACTGAGCCTGCACAATCTATGTATCAGCCTGCTAGCATGACCAGGGTAAACATTAGCATTTAGCATAAGAATAGCCAAACGGAATCACTAACAACAAATTAATTTGTTGTTCATTTGAACAGACATTGGAAAAGCTAATTAAGTTTGCTTTGGCCGCTAAAACCAAAGTTCAATATGACAATAAGGTTGAGTCATTTTTGTATTTTAGACTAAGACGTGCTTTTTCTGTCGCTTCATTGTAAAAATAAAATTTTTTGTTGTTGTTTTTAGGAAAGAGGTATCAACAAGTGAGCCACGAGTCAATACTGCCCAAAAAATAAAACACCTCCATGCCAAAATGGATCTATTCATTTGAAAGGTCAATGTGTCTTCTTTATCATAATCACCGCGGGAGGTGTTCAGTGAAATACATCAGTTTTTTGTAGTGTAGACACACTGCTCACTGTGAATCTATTTTTCCGAGATTAGGCATCAGATCTCAAATAAACTGCTCCTGGACAGATTACTCTTGACAGATAATACCTTTGCCGGCAGGGGATTGAACCTCTACCTTCGAGTGTGTGAGGGAAGAAACAGATCCTGCATACTCCCGCGGTGGCTTTGAAAACATTCCACCTGTTTTTCACAGGATCAACTTCCAGTCTGGTGACATATTTACCATTCAGACCTCGCTGAAAAGGAAATCTTCCCCCTCAGCCCCAGGAGCGGGAACCCTACTCCACGTCATGGGGCACTCGGCTCACACATTCATGGTCCAAAATGACAGGAGCTCCACCTGAAATATCAGACTGTAGCTGATGGCCACGGATGAACTGGAGACAACTGACAACAAAGGCTCGGATGGCCACAAGGGCGACTGGACTGTTCCATAAAAAATAAGATAAGAAGGACAAACAATCCTCAAAGACAGCCGCAACAACGACTATTTAAGACACTGCAGTCCAAATAAACCAAAATAACATGCTATATTTAATCAAATGGTTAACAAAAAGTTTAAAACGTTTTACAAACCAGTATTATTCAGTAAAGTTTGACGGATTGTACATTGTTTTCACCTTTTTGATAACATTTACTCCATTAGCACGATTCTAAGCATACTGTTTGGAACCTAATGGTGTTTGACTGGAAATAAATAAAGCAATTAAATAGATCAGTCCCAGAGTTTTTGTTTAGTGTTATTCATTTTCCTTCGGACACTAGTTGTTTCCTAAAAACTTAAATTGCTTACCATACATCCAAAACTATTTATTGAACTTTTTTTCATTGTACTGTTAGACACTGAGGACTTAAACTGCCCTCTTACTTATCAAGTTCACACTGAATTCATGGTAAACAGTTACTTAAGCAGCAATGTTTCTTTTCTGCTGTGTACTTTATTCCCTCGTACAAATATGACATCCTGACAGAAAATATCTCAGAGAATCTCAAACTTACCTGAGATGAGACACTTACTTGGAGGTACCCACTATTTCACAATCCACTGTTTTTTATTACTGTGTGTGAGTCCTGATGATGTCATCTTGGAAACATATAATCATTCTATGGGATAAGAATAAAAATAGAAACAATTTGGAAACATTTGTTCACTGGGAAATAGATGTTGCCTTATAGTTACTCAGAATGACTGACAGAATCATTTCCAGCAACCCCAACATCAAAGTTAAACCAGTTTGTTCACGTCTACTTAGCACTACAGCTAAAGCAATAGAAATTCTGTCTTTTCCCAGGTCCTTATGAGGTTATGATCCCTGACAAATGTTGCAGATGTTTTTGTAAAACCCTTTTCTGAGAAATACCACTCCATAACAAACAACCCTTGTAAAACATCAAAAGAGCCAGTTAATGTTTTGCTTTTCATATCACCCACAGTCATGTGATACCATACCCACATCTGCCCTGTTTTTGAGTCACGATGACATTAAGTTATGTTTTTAGACTGACTTAAGATATTACATCCCTGGGTGAACAATATACAATCCTCACTCGTTGACGACAGAGGATCTCTCTGTATATATGTATGTATCTGTATAAAAGTCTATGGTATTTCTTTACTAAATGCGACAACCATTTAATTCCGTATTGTAGTTGTGTTGCTTCACTGATATAAGCGCGCTAGTTCTGTGATCAGTGTCTCTAAATGGCCTTCCGGTCTAATCTTTTCTCTGACGTCTACCAATGCTCTAACACTTGAACCATTGTGAGGAGGAAACCAGTCAATCTTGGGAGTGGTAAACATGATCCTTCATAATGCTTATATATCTCGCAGGACTAAAATTGATCCCAAGCTGCATTGTTTCACCAAGCGATGGGTTAGACAAACTGTGTGCGTTAGTCAATAAAAATGTCTGGTGGGTAGTCTCTTGCTGTGCATGAATATAAGAGTCATTGTCCCACAGAAAGTTCCAATCTCACAATTGAGGAAAGCGTTTTAAGTAAGTCAACAGCTGGTATTCCCTGTAGAGTCCATCATTTCAAAATCTTCTGCTAAGTGTGCTCTGTGTCACAGTTTCCTGATCACTTCAGAAACTCAAACCAATACTTTATTGAAACACAGCTTGATTTAGTTTCTCTTTCAACAGAAACTGTTTCATTACACCATACCTCTTAAAGGCTGATTCTGATTTTTATCTGATATGGTTTTCTTATTACATGATAAAGTTTTGGAGTGTATATGCTGTGTTTCTTTGCACAGCCCAAAATTTGTGGAATTAGCTAAACTTGCAAAACCATCCATCATATGTAAAAAGTCAGTTAATTATAGCTTTAGATGACAAGAATTTGAAATGTTTCTACTTATGTCTAATAAGATAAGAAAGTTACTTAATTTACCCTATGGGATAAATACAATCTTTTTAAATTAAATTAACTGAGTGAGTGTTACTTCATTAATTTGGCTGCCCTCAGTTGAACCTCTGAGTGTCACTTCCCTTAAACAGGATTTCTTTTCAGTCATTTATTTGAAATCAGCACCATCTCTTCACTTTTGTCTACTTTCTACAGACCCTTTCAAAGACAAAGAAAACCTGTGTTACACTTTGGGAATGATCATATCTATCCATCCATCCATCCATTATCAATACCGCTTATTCCCTCATGGGGTCGCGGGGGGAAGTAAATATGAGTGAGTTGTGTCACGCGCTGAATTTTTGCCATATCTAATTAAAATACCTTTTAAGCATCACTCAATTTCTTTTTCTTCTTTTCTTTTAGCTCTGTGGGGTGTAGCTCAGGGTTGCAATTGACCTAATTAGTCATCATATTTTTTCCATTTTCTAAAAAGGTTTGGTTGTGTTGCAGACTATGGGAGCTTTTCACTGCTGATCTTGGCTTATCTCTTGAGATTATGAAACATTCAGGCGGCGTTGCAGCCCTCTACTCACAAGTGCACTACAAATAATGTCACTTAGAAGGGGAATGTAAGTGTGGTTTCTATATAAAATGAAAAAAAAAGTTCAAATAAAGCCCTAACACAACTCTAAATCCTAACTTTGATTTTGTAACTTGACAGTAACAGGTAAAGACTAGACTCACAACAAAACTCTTGTGAAATGTTTGGTCATGTTAGCGTGTGATCAATTGTAGTTGGCTGTCATGTGTGGTGACTAAATAACTGCAACTTGAATTGGAAATTCTGTGTGTGTTGGTTCGTTGGAAGTGTTAAGCCACTGCTTTCATTATTCATGGTTTCATATATTCCATTGCAGTACACTTAAAACCAGACTGATGTTTTCCTTTTTTTTTAATAGAGGCCCATAAACATCCCATGTTGTCACTCTTCCACAACAACGACAACGACAACATGAACACGTTAAGTGACGCATTCCTTCATTGTCCACACTGCTTATTCTGAGAAGGGTGGAAGAGGGCAAGAGGGTACACAGTTATACCAGCAAAGTATGAACTAAAGGAGAAAAAAGAGCCCAGGATTATCAGTCTGCTGTGAGACTATGTGTCAGAGCTCTGGAGTAATTTGCTTCAAGGAAATAGTCCTGAGGAGCCGAAGCAGCCCCAGGTCAAATGTCAGAAATTAAACTTTATCACCAGGGCCAACCATAAGGATTTCTTCGAGTGGACCCACAGCCCAGCAGAGCAAGACAGACAATGTATTTGTCTCGTGTCTAAGTAGGCAAAGCAGTTGTGAATTGTTTATTGAGATTTGGTGGTTTTTAGCTCTCTGCTTCTCTGGAGCAGTCCCCAAAGAAAACTATGTTGTTTTTTACCATCTCACATAAAGGAAATGTCAAACTAAATTAAACATAAAGACAGATTCTTCATTTTTACAATCCTGTACATCTCTTCAGCCTTAAGTGTACACCATTCATATTATATTTACAAAGCAAAACCGTTGAGCTGATGGATTTTTTTATCTGAACTTTTGATCAGACCGCATTCTGCCAAAAGCTGTTTAAAAATGGTCATCAAAAAATATGTCCTTTTCATAAATCTTTAGTAAGAGCTAAGAGTTAATCATCCTGAGTGGAATCACTTGGATTTCGACTGCTAAAGAAGATTAATACAAAAAGGCTTAATGGAGCCAAAGGTAGATCAGAGGTCAGAGGTCAGCTGCAGACAAACTACAGAGAAAGGATTTATTGTGCTGAGATCAAAGTTGTTCAGCTTGGAGGACTTTTCTTCTATGCTGAAGGTAATTCATGGTTCTAAAAACATTTTCTTTGAAAAGAAATCTCATAAAGCAATTTTTTCTCAAGCTACAAGATGTAAATTGTGTGTGATGGATGGATAGATGGATTGCGTAAGGTAAGGGGGTCCTCTGGTGGTAAACAGTGCATATTGCCAACCCAACAGTGTAAACTAAAAGAGGTCCCCATATTTTCTTTAAAACTGCTATGCCACAAAGTGTCCTAGTCTTAACCTTATGTTAAATTTACTTTTTGGTGGACCCACACACACACAGACTCCAAATATCCCAGATCCTATCAGCCAAGAGGTGTGCACATACTAGAAAATCCGGGTGCAGGGCATTGGTATAGTTTTTTAACAAAAGACATCTCTTATCTTGTGACATAATTCAGGCTCAAACAAGAAATAAATCCAGATTAGGAATGTTTGGCTGTTGAAGGAAGGGATGTTGATCAAAACAGCAACATTAAACATGAAAATTCATTTAAACGGTTAAAAGACCTAATTAAGTCAATTAAAAGAATTCAACAATAAATCTATTATTTATTTTTGTCAGTCTTGTGAAGCACATGTACTGCATTGCATGGATGCAATCATTCAGTTCTTTTTAAAGTTTGGAAGACAGTGTTTTTCTTTCCATTAGAATAAAATCATATTTAAAACAGCTTTTTTTCTGGTCGGCAATAAATGCAGCGAATTATCATTAAATCGACGCAGTCAAAAGTTGTAATAGCGCGTGACGCCATCAGCACGCGCCCCTGAGAAAGTTCTCCCATTGGTAAGAACTTTAATATATCTTAATAAATGTTAGTTTATGAATTTGTAAATCTTTGAGACTTATTTTTCTTTGCCAAAAATGTGACAGAATTTTAAAAGGAAAAGCTCGCGCTGTGTGCTAAATTTGAAGCTATTAAACATTGCAACTAGCAACATTTTGTTGACTCATCTCAATTTATACATAGAATCAGCCTATTACGGGCTAAGTAAAGCTAACCACTAAACTCTTAAAAAAAGATTATAATTAAAGTAGATTTTTACACCACTGACTATTTGGTGTCGAGTTAGCGACTTGTAGTTTTGTGTCTTTCACTTTCATTAAGGCAACTAGAGTTAGCCAGTGAGCTTCAGGAAGCTTGACTGGGTTGATAAAACCGATAGAGTAAACTTTTATTGTGTCTCCCACAGTACACCGGTTAAACTACAGTCTGTAAAATGGTAAGTAAGCCTGCTTTTTGTTCCCTCTCAGTCCAAACAATGAGACGCAAAGGCAGCATCCCCACAGTGAGTCAGCTGGTTTAGTTAAGCTGAAACCTTCATGAGCATCTATCTAAGGTCTTGTGACAGCATTTGGCCTTTTGCTTTAAAGCTTTGAAAGGGAAATGTATTTGCTATTGAGTGGTAAATTAACCTACTTTGCATTGGTAGATTTACGGATCTACAAGTTCCTCTTTGTTTTTTTTGTTGAAAATAGTAAGACAAATGTGTTTCATTTGTGTGAGTGCAAGACAATAATCACAAAGAGCATTCCAAAATCTTTAAATGGACATGCTTCTTGTTTCACACACCAGTATATATTTTCCACCAAACAACCATTTAATGAAGTAGCTGAGACTTTACTCATATGTTTGAGACCTTTTGAACTCTACAACTAAGTTTTAATTTCTCTTTTTTCGTTCAGTCTCGACGGTATGATTCACGAACAACCATCTTCTCGCCCGAAGGTAAAAATTGCTCAGAAATGTGTTTGTGAAGTGTAAAACTCACTCGTTCAAACATGAGACATCTTTGCTTTTTGTTACCCTCGGTGTGTCTGTGAATATTTGTCTTCATCGCTCTCCTTGGCATTGGCAGGACGCCTTTACCAGGTGGAGTACGCCATGGAGGCCATCGGCCACGCCGGAACCTGCCTGGGAATTTTAGCCAACGACGGAGTGCTGCTGGCCGCTGAGAGGAGGAGCCTCCACAAGCTGCTGGATGTGGTGTTTTTCTCTGAGAAAATCTACAAGCTGAATGAGTGAGTCAAGTGCTCGTCTTGTCTTTTGTGGAACATATTATATATTCTGTATCGCTAAAAATCCAGTTCTCAATAATCTGTCCATTACCCAGAGACATGGCGTGCAGTGTAGCAGGAATCACTTCAGATGCCAATGTCCTGACCAATGAGCTGAGGCTCATAGCTCAAAGGTGAGCTTGATAAGTGAATCTTTTAATTAGCTTTGCAACCTCAACGAGGACAGAAAATGACTATGCATGTGATGGGCTGTGTGGCCCTTTGCAGGTATCTGCTGCAGTACCAGGAGCCGATCCCCTGTGAGCAGCTGGTCACGGCACTCTGCGACGTCAAGCAAGCCTACACACAGTTTGGAGGTATGGATCACCCCCTCCACCCCCCCACCCCACCCTGTTCTGCTTTAGGGTCAGGCAAATCTCTCTTCTGACGCACTGTTCCAAAAAAAAGCCAATTTAAAATGTCTCTTTAGGCATTTGCTGCTAGCCTGCCACAAAGTGACAGAATTTGTTCCAGTTTCTTTGCTTGAACCAACAAAACTTACTACAGGTGACACAGTTGGATGTAATTTAGTATTTTTACACCCACATAGTAAATCCCCTAAAACAGTTCTGCATTTCTCAGCATGATATGCTAGGTCTCCTTAGTACTCAAAAGGGAATCAGAGAAAAATTACTGAAGAAAAATGAAAAACTGCTGCTGTTTGAAGTAATCATACAGACTCTGAATTTACCTTTCTGTTGTTGAAACTGTTTCCTGCAATCTGTACAATAACAAAGACTGAAGAGTTCTGTGCAGGACTTAGTTTAAAGATTTAAAATCTTAATAAGACCAGCCCTATCTGCGCTCTAAACTAAACTAAGGCTTAGTTTATTACCTTCCCCACCAAACCGGATGGTGTGTACTGGTGTTGTTGTTTAGAGAATAAACCCCCATCCAGCAGCTAAATTCTGGAGGCAGAAATCCCAGCGTTGTTTAGCTTTTTCTGCAGAATTGGTTTGACTTATTTGGAGAGCTGTGAGAATTTGTCTGTCACAGACCTTGACAGGAGCCGACACGTCGGTGCAGTTTTGATGTGTGTGTGTGTGTGTGTGGTTTTACAGGGAAGCGTCCCTTTGGGGTGTCGCTGCTCTACATGGGCTGGGATAAACACTACGGCTTCCAGCTCTACCAGAGCGATCCCAGCGGGAACTACGGAGGCTGGAAGGCCACCTGCATCGGGAACAACAGCGCTGTGAGTCCGGATTACAGATTCAGCGGAACTGTGCTGTGTGATGGAGGTATAAAAGCAGCTGTTCCAGATTCTGGCAGCAGAGGGTGCAGCCTCACAGGAGTTCTGGGTTCTTGCTCCAGCTAAATGTGTCCCTCTCAGTAGGTGGTTAATCTCCACACTTTTGCACACAATGCATTATGCATTACAAAACCTCCTCAGAAAACAGTCTGTTCAGTTCTAACCTGCTGTGTCTGTTTAAATTTGACACTTGGTGCTGATTGGAGGGCTTTCTCTGGCCACATCTAGGCTGCCGTGTCCATGCTGAAGCAGGACTACAAGGACGGAGAGATGGCCCTGTCTTCGGCCCTCGCCCTTGCCATTAAGGTTCTCAACAAGACAATGGACGTCAGCAAACTGTCAGCAGAGAAAGGTAGCCGGATAACAAAGCTCACAGATCCTGGTTGCTTTTACAATGTCATTTCTCGCTGGTAAGAAGGTGAGAAGCTCGGCCATCCGGGAGGGGCTCAGAGTAGAGCCCCTGCTCCTCCATGTTGAGAGGAGCCAGTTGGGGGTCTTAAATTCATTACACTCAAACATTCCAGCATCAATTCAAATAAGTTTGAGCTTCTGAAACGGAGATCTCAAACTCTGATTCATGAGGGCGTTTCAGATGTTTCCCTGCTTCAATACACCGGAGATCCCCGTTCTTAGAGTGTGTGAGTGTTTTACAGTAGCTTCAGATGAAGAAATTTGAAGAGACCTTGGTACACAGCTTTGTTAAAGGAGGCTGAGCTGCTATGTTCTTTTATTCCGGCCACCCCCACAAACAGTCCACACTTATACAATGTTTCTCATCACATTGTCATGACCTTTAACATCTATCATGCTAACGGAGGCTCTTAGAGTCTGAGCTGGACGTCCACTCCTGTGAATAACCTCTAACCATTCTCGTTCCTAGTAAATTGGCAGCAGTAATTGCCTCTTTAAGCTCGTTGCTGAGGGCTGTGCATACAAGTTCAATTTAATGTCACTTTTCTCCTTTAGCTTATTCAGTCTCCATGCAGACACAAAAAACAAAGTCAAACAATGTTTGATTTAATGTGATTCATCGTGCTTTAAGGTCACAATGAGACATCATGATTCTGTAAACATTAGGGAACTCCAATGATAGCTGACATTATTCATTTAACCCTGTGGAGCCTGTCAACATTTTAGATTGAGATAAAAGAAAAAAGAAAAATATTCTAAGCAGACCACTAAGAGCCTCCTGCTCTTCACAGACAAACACAAAAAGTGGTGATTAAAAGCAGTGAAATCAGAAACATGGTTTAATTTCATTGTGGAGGTTATGTAGCCATTCAATTTCTTGCACGTGATAGCAAAGTAAACATTAGGTGACACATCCCAATGTCCTGTTTTCATTAAATATCAGGCATTCAACGTTTACACACTGGTAAAATCAGCTTAGTGTCCTTTCTTTTTGTCTCCAATCGTTGCATCAGTGGAGATCGCTACCCTGACCCGCGAGAACGGCAAGACCTGCATCAAAGTGTTGAAGCAGAAGGAGGTGGAGGAGCTGATCAAGAAGCACGAGACGGAAGAGGCCAAAGCTGAGAAGGAGAAAAAAGAGAAGGAACAGAAGGAGAAGGACAAGCAGTGATCACTGGCAACGCTGTTTTTGGAGAGGTGCGAATGTGAGGTGGTGAGTGTGTATGTGCGACTGTGTTGTTTCTTTGAATAAAAGGAAAAACGATAGGAACTAATGTTTTTATTATGAAATTGGTTTTCTTTTTACTGTGCCTTTGGAGACTACAATCTTTGGAGAATTGCGACATCTTCAATCTAATTAGGTTTCATTTTGCATTTGGTACATCTTAATATAAAAATATCTGCCCTCCTTTTGAAAAGGATGTGGTTTTGGGGTACAACTACCCACTTTTTGGGTCCAGCAAGCATAAAGTTGTACACTTGGGGTGAAACAGTGGCACAGCAGTGGCTGACAGTTAGCTCTTATTTGCAACTGTTCAGGTTTAATGAGACGCGACTCATTAAGTCTGAATGTCTCCATTTTGTATTTTTGCTGCGAACAGTTTTTAGCTGCTCTTTGTTATGCTGCTCATGTTGTTGGTCCTTTAAAGATGTGCTTTGTGGTACAGTGCTAGGTAAATTATGATCATCCAGTGGTGTCAGTTGTTTTCACCTGGGCCTCTTTTTGTTTTTGTTTTTTTTGTTCCTCCATCCTCTGGTTGTTCAGTATTTTCTGATTCTACCTAGCTTAAGCTAGCTTTCAGCCTCTCAGGAGACTATTAGCCTTTTACAGAATAGAGCAAAGCAATACGTGTGAAAATGTAAAAAGCCAATTTGTTATTCAAGTTACATAACTGAAATTCTTTTTAAGTGCTTTGGTCCACTTTAAAGCTTCTCAATGATATAGCTTTTCTTCCTTAATCATGAGGATTTTCAGTGAAAATCAAAAAGGATTAAATATAATGTACTCTGAAACAGACAGATGGTCTGAAGAGTATTTTGTATGAATTGTGTAATGCATACTTTAATGGAATATGAGACCTCAATTGGATTTATTTTTTAATAATTTGGCACTGGCAATATTTAGTTTTTTTTTAATCGAAAATATTCTAAAATTTGCAGACAACAAACCTTGAACACCGCGGAAATCTTCACCTGCATAAGAATTAAAGAGACTTTGTAGGTCTCTGTACATTGGAAGGAGGAGATGAAAGTAGATTTTCATGAGAACATTTGCTCTGTGGCAGTTTTAGTATCCTCAGAGCGGATTAGCTGCTGCCTGGCTGGTTTGAACTCGCCGAGCGGGCGTTGACAACTGAGACGCAGGGACATGAGCAGAGGCGGTTTCTGAGAAGTGCCATGCTGGTAAGTGCAGCTGATGCCGTAACCGTTGATCAGCTTCCATTTAAAGGTGAGTTTACATAAACTGGCCTGAAGATTAAGGCCAGGAGGTGCATATGTGCCACTTGTGTTTGGTTCAGGGGATTAATGGCACAGCCTCAGTGTGCTGCTGGGACATGATGCTGATGGTGGGGGAAGGGGACTGTAAAGAATATGATGCTCAAACAGTGGGCAGACAAAAAATATCCCACATCTTAAACTTTTCATTTTCTTGAATTGAAACGAATTGCTTGAAAACCTTCAGTTAAAAAAGAAAAACAAATTGGAACATTATAGAAGTGAATCTAAACACATTTAAAAAATGTGTCTGAGGTTCTGCTTTGCTTTATTTATTCATTCCCACCCTTTCTCCCACTTGGTTGATATATGCTCCATGTCAAAGATTTGAATACGGTCCAAACAGCTTTTCACCTTCAGGGGACAAAAGGTTGCTGACGTCTTCCAAGGATTGAAAAAGCGGCTGAGCGTGTCCTGGCCTAGGAACTGAAACTGGAACAACTAACTTGGAGGCTTGTGGCCACTTCTGCAAGACACCAGCCGTAGGAAGCTTAAAACACAAGAGGAGGTCTTTTTTCCCCTTTTTTGTTGTTTCAGTTCCAATTCAGGCCATCATGTTGCCGTTTCTATGAGCTCACAATACTCTGCAATGCTACCAGCACATGTGACAGTATCTTCCATTCTTTTCCATTTTCTTTAAAAGAAAAGCACATGGACACTTTTATTCAACATTTATTGACCCGCCCTCCCCCAAAAAGACAATAACCTGTATATAATTGTGGATCATCACTGAATGGTAGTTAACTAAAAAAAAAAAAAAAAAAAAAAAAAAAAAAAAACCCCAAAAAAAAAAAAAAAAAAAAAAAATAATGAAAAATAAAAAAAAGGTAGTAAAAAAAAAAAAAAAAAAAAAAAAGGACAGACATTAAACCCATACAATATCACAAAACAGAAGAGCAACATTCAGATAAAAATATACCTCTGAAAAAAAAAAGAAAGAAAAAAATAAGCTTCAGAAAAATCTATATTTCTCCTAACAGCTTACAGTCAGGGCTCTATCAGGATCAGTAGCAATGGAGACTGGTGTGAGTGGAACACATGCAGTGTGGGCAGGCTAACGTTTTGAGTGTTACAGGGAGTATGGAGCCATAAGGGAATGTAGGTCAATGTAGCTTTACATACCGTATTAAGTTACTATGAGCTGGGTAAGATGATTTGAGTCGACAGGGCAGACTAACTGGATTCTTTGGCGGTTTGTTCAGAGAAATAAAATCTAGAAAACTTTAAGGGGAAAAAAAAGAAAAAAAAAAAAACATTTTCTGGATTTCTTCCTGGATTTGAACTCCACTTGCATATATGGTATTCACCTGAGGTGTCCTCACGTAGCACAGGTCTGAATTTACAAGGGTGAAAACTGACATTCGATAAGACTTGAGAGTAACCCAAAAAAAACCCAAACAAACAAACATTGCACTCTCCTCTTCAGGCACAATAGCAACCCCCCCCCCCCACACACACATTTCTATAAACCTTTTAACTGGTGCATGATCTTAATGTGGATGTCTATATGGAGCTGAAAAGGCTCAACTTCTGTTTTATTTTGGCTTCTCCTACATCCTTAAAACAATTTAAAGAGCTTATTGCGTTATGTCAGGGCAGGGCAACATTTTTAATTACTAAAATGGAACAAAAACACAACTAAACATGTTAGGTCTTGCCCTCCTGTTCCATTTTTAAACAGAAAATGACTTCAATAAAAACCTTAAAAAGCCTCAAACTGATTCATAATTCAGAGGAGGTTTTAATGAAAAGTAACTCAAAGCCTCGTTTATTTTTTTGGTGGTTTTTTAAAAACCATCATACAATTTTTTCAGCTTATCACAGAGTGAGTGACGTGTGCCGGAATGATGCCTCAATGTGCCTCAGAGGGAACACAAAAGAAACATTCACGTGTGTTTACATGGTTTGTTGTCCGCATCCCATCGTTTCCCAGTTTCCGGACGACTTTTAGCTTGCACGGTTTACAGCAATAAAAGACAAACCAGAGTCTTGTATAGAAAAAGTAGGAACTGTCGGAGGAGATTTGCTGCAGCTTAAAGGAAAAACGCCACCGTCTCCCGAGTGTCCAGCAGTTGTTCGTCCGGTCCGTGGCGACGCAAACAAATAATGTGACGAAAGAAGGAAAGCAGGATGAGGGGATGCGTGGTAATCCTTCCATCCAAAACGCCCCCATTAAATCACTAGTCTGGTTGAACCACCGTCACTGGTGGGCGATTTCTGAGGTGGAGGGTTGTTGTCACAGGATGAACGAAGGCAGGTTTGTTTTAGGGGAGGGAGGAGAGAGGGGGGGATTGTGTGGGTAAGATGAGGGTGGGCGTGGGAGGTGTCAGGAGTTGGTGGAAGTCACTCTTCATCCGAGCTGCTGTTGTCCAGAGGGTAAACCATGAAAGCCAGATCGGGCCGGGCTGGTACCATGGGGTTGCCCGGCTTCACCATCTCAAAGCCCATGTAGTGGAACGTCTTGATGATGGACACTAGTGAGGAGAGCATAGGGGCACGGTCAGTCCCATCTGAGAACACACTGTGCATTATGTAAAGCAAAAAAAAAAATTTTTTTTTATTTAAAAAAAGACATCCTTACATCTATCTTCTCTGCTTTTATGGAACCACAGGAAGACGAAGTTAACTTTGAGCTTCTCCTCTGCGAACTCGAGCAGGGCGGTCAATCTGAGGAAGACACGGAGGGAAGAAAGGCCGGTCAGTGAGGGGCGATGACGCACAAAGTTTTTTTTTTCAGCCCTCTCCCGTTTTACATAAGCACAGCAACTTTTACATAATAATGCAGTGGCAGCTGCAAAGCTGACTGCTCACTGGACTGGCAGCGAGCCCACAGCAGGGAAGGTTACCCTGGGCAGGGAGCGATTACGGCAAAGTGAAAAGAAGAAAAAAAGAAAAAAGAAACAAGCCCAAGTCTGGGAGGCAAAAAGTGTTGCGTCACAACACACAACCGACTTTGAATCGTGGCGCTAAACATCTGTAGTAGGGGAGAGAAATCTGTCTTTTAGAAATCCTTTGGAAGGTGTGTTATCGTACCCCTCTTTGCTTCCCTCTGCCAGCGGACCGGCTAAAATCTCCAGGAACAGGCTGTCCTTCAGCAGAGCCGTGTCCCAGAAGGCCGAGCGGCGTTCACTGAGCTGGTAGTGGAAGCGGAGAAGAGAGGGGCTCCCGCTCACAGGAGAGGCCTGCGTTACCGTTAACTTGTCATCCTGCGCGGAGAAAGCGGGACACACAGCAGAGACAGGGGTTAGAACTCCTCACACACACACACATACAACAAAAAAACGCCCGATTATGTCAGGATTCAATACTGTATCAGGCACATGGTCAATAAAAACTTTTTAAAAAAATTTTGGACAGCCGTCTCATTCATTAACAGCAGTTGGTGAGATGTGTGTAAGCCAACTGTCAGAGAAACTGACGGTGCAACGCACAACTCGTGTGAGCTGCTGCTTGTGCGCTCGCTGAGGACACGCGAGAATGTTGATGACGGTTATGACTGATCTGTCTGATCCCAAATCTCTAATCCCCACCCCCCCAACCCAGTCTGTCTGTCACATGTCTAGGGGACAACCTGACATATGCACACACAATGTGGACACACAATGTGGACACAAGGTGACTATGTATCGAAAAGGAAACACAACAAAGATTCTTCTTTTCTTTGTATCAACCCTCAAAAGGCAACTAGGTGAATGATTAAGAATGTTTCATATTCATATCTGAGGGAAGTAAATTTCTTATTAAATTCATAAAAATATATTACTTTTTTTTATTAAAATATAATATATTCAACAACTAAATAAAAAGAGATTACAGTTCAGTAATAACACGTGCTTGTGTTTAGGAGTCAGACAGGATGTAGCACTTAACACAATTATTACCTGAGGTGCTTAACGGGTATCAGAACAACACGTGCCCAAACTTGTTATCCCCCCCATCCTCTTTTAATTTAGAATAAAAGACTGTAATAAAAAATTGCTGGGTGTAATCCAACCCCCGCCAATAGCAAGCTGTATTTGCCATCCTCTGTGTTGTGTTACCATAAAAAACTAAAGGAAAGAAAAAGGTAGAACGGCTTCTAACCTCACACGTACGCTCTGCTTTGTTGTGATGTTACCTTGTGTAGTAGCACGCCATGAGAGTGATCCCTGACCGTCCCTCGCCCACCCGGGATCTTCAGCTGTGGGTGAGGGGCATCAGGAGCACCACAGAGGCCCCGGAGCCTGAGGGATGGAGCTGGGCATCAAAGACCCAGCTAACCAGGAACTGCAGGGACAAAAACAAAAAAAAGCACCCGTTTCAGGTTTGTTTTTCTCAGCACCAAAGTTTTAACATGTTAAAAAGTTTCTTCCAATCCAAATATTTTTACAAAAAAGAAAAAGTTCCTCAAAAAAGGAAAACCAACCGGTAAAACTAAATATTGTGTAAAGTTTTAGTTTCAAGGGGAAGGCTGAGAATACATGACCCTACAACCAGCAGGATCATGTTTTCCCCTCACCTGATCGGCCAAACCAATTTCCAATCAGGAGAGTTTGCACTTTAATGGTAACCCAGTCAGACCCGTTTGGTTATTTATGCATCTTGGTATTTCCTCCACCCTCTGACAAACAAGTGAAGTGATCCTGAAGCGCCACGCACTGCCGGAGAACAAAAGTTCTGCTTCCACAGGTCTGCTAGGAGCCCCTCTCAGTCAACCGACTGTCCCCTCGGGGGCTGTTTGTTTATCGTGATGAGCATGCCACACCGACTAAATCCAAGCTCATAATTTATGAGTCTGTTCAAAGGGCTCCAAATGGGTTGTGCGTGCGGTGTGGAGCCATCGACCATAAACGAGCACATGATCTGTAAACACCTCTGGAAATAGCTGCGCGAGGCTTTTGGGAACACTCTTCTGTCTTCGTTTTGTGTTTCAGCCCGGGGTGTCAGACGGCAGACGGGCTGGAAAATGAGGACGCGGGATCCTCTTTTCCTCAAACTTTGGCCTTTAAAATGTAAAGATATCCCCCCCGTCGTGTCTTAAACTGCGACGGGGGGGACAGCCTGTTTCTGGGTCGCGTGCCGCAGAGGCATGGCGGCCTACATGCGTCTGAGGAGGGAGGGGGTGAAGGGGGGGTGGGGCAGGTGTGCAGCAGTTTCCTGGCCGACCGGACAGGTGACCCGGGCGACACGATCTGCGCGAGAAAAGAACAAAGACAAACAATGTCCGGCCCGTTCAAGCTCACCGCTCTGTGTTGGTTCTGTGAACGGATGAGTTTAACCATCCTACCCCACCAAACGGAATGTTACTTACAGGTTCCCTCTGGTTCTGGGACATAAAAGCATGCATTTCGCAAATATTTCGGATGTTTTGTTTGTAGCTGAGTTATGTTATTCCTGTGAAGCAAAGTGGGACACTTAAGAATCCAACGACTAGTAAAATGCTCCTTTTAATAATCATAGGGGGCAGAATGATGCACCGCTAAGATACTGCAGGGAGCCAAACGTTTCAGAACTGAACTGATGCTGACCGAGTGGAAACAAGTGTTCACACACGGACGGACGAAGAAATAAAGAACCACCCCCCCACCCCCCGTCGACTCTTAATAGAAACACCAGCTTGTTTTGAAAGGCAAAACAAGCCGTTGACATTTCACCGCTCTCCGAGCCCCCCCCCTCCACCCTCAGAGCTGCCCTTTAGCTGCCGCCCTCCCCAACAGGTCAGGAGGTCACCCTAAAAACAGAATGTAGGTTACGTCTCGCAGCTGATGAGCGACGCAGACGCCACCGGCCTGGCATTCGCATGCCCCCGGGCAGCATTAATAAGTCAGTGAGGAGGAGTCAATCATCAGCATGTGAAAACTCGGCCGTGCCAACTGCGTCACGGTGCGGGGCGAGGGATGTTTAAAAGGAAGAAGGCTTCCACTGCTTGGTCGCTTCCCCCCCCCCCGAGCAGGAAAACGTTAGGAGATCTGCTCCAGGTGAATTGTTTTGAACGGGCTGGCCGAGGTAAAGCCTGGCTGACGGTCAAAAACCACGGAGCTGCACCATAACAGGAAGCTCCCCTCAAAGGATGGAGACACAGCAAAGCAGCTTCTGATGCTGCGATTGGCATCTTAGTCGTGGAAAAAAAACGAAAGTCAAACAGACTGTGAACGTGACGCAACGCGACACGCCGGCCCAAAGGGACAGAGAAATACCTGATGCCCGCAGCGACTTTCTAAAGGAAGGAAAGTAAACAGACCTTCTCCAGCCCCTGGAAGTTTAGCACAACAGCATGACGGAGGAGATGTGGAGCCAGAAACAGGAAAAGGAACGCGTGTGTGGAAAGACGTACTCCTGTTTAAACACATGGCTCTGACCCGGGACTCAGAGGGTCACCAAACACAATCGCGCCAGTTACCCTGAGCTGGGGTACTTAATGGGTTCAAATGATGATAGGAAGAATAGTTGGTCGAAATGCAATCATTTGGGCCTTATAGGAACGTCAGGTATGCCTGTGGCACCAAAATGGAATGAGCCCAATGTCAAAGCAGCCTGACAAGTGTGCATAACAACATTTAAAAAAAAGAAAACAACCTGCATGGTGTGGCACTCCAGACAACCAGTGTCATTAAGTATTTATACCAATACAAGTAATGATTTAAAAAAAGGCTGAGAAAAATGCAGGAACATTATTTCCTCTTATTTTTATGCCACTTGAATGGAACATCAGGGAACCCTGAATCAACCCATCGCACAGTGACCTAAGCCGCCTGCACTTATCCGACTGCCTTAACTGGGAAAAACACAGACAAGATTAACAACAACTGGTTTAACGAAACTGCAAACGGAGACCTTTAGCGGACAATTCAGTGGTTGGATCTTATTTCAACTCCTCCAGCTTAACATCGCTGGCTACATTATTCCAAACTCGATTCCGGAACGCAGCTTTGGAGGGCCGACAAGTTCATAAGGAAGTCCAAAAGTCTAAGAGCTAAGTGTATAATCATTGTGAAAATGTAGTGGTTTAAACAGTCATTTAAAACTAATGAACTAATCCAAAAACCTCTTTCTCCGCTTCTGAAAACTCCTAGAAGGGCACAAAAGCCGAGCGTGACGCTTCCAGATCTGGTCTGAGGCTGCCTGGCACACTTTCTGTTTTGGTTTCATCATGGAAAATTCGGCCCCCGGCTTCCCGGCAACCGCTCAAGAGATCAGTTTAGGGCTGCGTTAAAGGGGCACTCTGGAATCTCAGGATAATTCCACTGATGCTTGAGAGGTGATCCGGCGGAGGGGACGGGGGTTATGTAACCAGGCTGACCGAGGCCGGAGGCGGCCTTCGGCTGAAACGCTCGCGGCCGGGGCGCCAACAGTGGCCCTCGTCGGCATCCCCAGACCTCTCTCACTTCCCTGCAGGCCAGGTTTTTATTTGAAAAAACCAGAGAGGAAAAAAAAAAATCCAAAATCTCCTTTTCAGAGTGCAGCGGCGGCTGAATAAAACATTAACCAAACAACTTAACCAGAATCCACCAATTAAAACATGTCTCACCAGAGAGGTGACCCAATCCCCCCCCATGGGGCCGACCAAGGTGATGCAAGAATGCACAATTCCCCTGGTGAGTGCGCACGGTAACATCACGGCTACACGGGAGAGAGGTTAAGCTGTTAAAAACCAGTGTGCACACAGGTAGAAAGTCAGCTTTAACTTGTCACTTTCAGCACTGTGTAGGTTTGCTGTGCACCCCTCACTTTTGTATATGGGAGGTCAGTTATTTCAAACTAAATAATCCTATTTAATTCTGACATTTCAAATGGCATCACCCTCTAATTGTACCTGCTAGCTGGTGTGTGCATCAGATCAGCTTGTTTACCTCAGAGAGATTTATTTCTGTCCAGAGAAAATCTGAGACCAAACGTTGGGTAAACTTTTTTAAGGCAGGGAAACAAAAACAACCTTTAGGTTCCGGAGTAAAACTTAACAGAACTCTGGTCTAAACTGTGTCAACTGCTCTGCTGTAAAGTCTGTAGCTTGTTTTTGCTCATAGTCAGCAGTGTCTTGACCGATTGAGACTAATTTGAAGGTGCACGTAAAAGGGGATTAAAAAAGCGTTTGCACCTTTTTGTCCCTCTGCAAACGTACAACACTGTCGTGCGTCTGTATTCGTCAGAGACGCTCCGATTCTAGATGTTTCTCTGATAACTTGCTTTTAACATGCTCGGAACTAGAACGCCTGCTAGCATGACCGACTACACACACAAACACACACACACATATACATAAGTTCATGTTTGTTTTGAATGTTTTCTGTAATAAACAGGAACGTCCCCCTACCTTTCCTCTGTGTTCAGCATGATTGTTTCGGGGAAACTCTGGTCTTTAGATCCTTTTCGACAACCAAAACTATCACTGTTCAACAAGAGCTCCACAGGTATGTTCACCATTCGTATGTCAGCACAAACCCCAGACGGAAACGCGAGCCTAGAACGCGGCTGTTTAAATGAGAGGACCTTTTCCTCCCGACTCTTGGACACAACGAATCTGCAGCCGTCGGTCTGCGGGGTGGCGGTTTTATACCCGCAGTGAGGCATTATGGGTAATCCACCTCAGGCTAGTTTTCTAGAAAAAGAAGGTAAACAAACAAAAGATCCAACCCACACATACACATCAGGTGTATTGATATAAAACTTGATGGTAATGTTTTTTCTATTCAGACATTTCTGCAATATTTCTATTATATGTACATTTTTTAAGGTTCTGCCGCCAACTTGTCAAGAGAAAAATGAATCATTTCCTGAAATGTTGGACTTTTTTATACAGGTTTTACATTTTTTCCTTTTTTTATTTCCTAATTTCCTTTATATTTTTTTGTTGCAAATTGACTTCTGATCGCAGATATTTCAATTTTTTCAAATGTTCATTCAAACAACTCTACCTGAATTATATCATTGGGATTCTTTTTGCTTTTTTGCACTACAAACATAGCTTGCTATGATTTCCATATGTTTTATTATGTCCTAAAATGTTTTATGTTTATCCTATTTTTATCAAACATATTCATCCCTGAAATTACTTTCGTCTTATGGGGAGGAATAAAGTGGGGAAACCATTAAAAAAGTCAATTAGATAAGATTAAAATGATAATTTTATATTTGACTGTGTCAGATAAACAAAGTGCTAATAGCAGTCAGTTCGCAGCCATTAGCCTTAGCCTTTACCCCAACCCTTAAACCAGACTGCAGATTTGTCTTGAGTTTTGCCTTTTGGTTACAAAAAAAGGGAGTGGGGGGGGGGGGGCTTGAACATGGCAAGAGAGATTTTGTTATGACTATGATCTGGCAGGAAGCCTGAGGCAGCCCTCAGGCACACCATGGGAAACTGGAAAAAAAGAACCATGCATAAAATCCTCACAGATTGAAACTTAAGTAAAAAATCATAGACAGACTCTGATCTTAAATACAAATATACATCACTTCAGGTGTGACTAAATAACACAGAAACAGATCTTTTTTAAAGTGAACTGTGGGGCAATTCATCAATTGAAAATTGAAGAAAACCTCTGTTGTAATTTTAGAAAAAGTGATTCAATAGACTGTTTTTTTACGTCTGGTGCAACGGTGAAAGAAAAGGAATAAATTTATGTCTTCAAAAGTGTTAGATAAACTATATTGTGTAATTTTCCAATAAGGTGACCAATAAGGTTAACATCTTCTGTAATTTACTGCAGGTATCATAAAGAGATACACTCTTAGAAGTAAAGTGAAGAGATGGCTCAAGGCCTATTGTATAGGGACACTGACCTCTCATTGTCTGAGTGCAACACCTTTAAACAACACTACAAGGTGGTGCATTACAGCTTTGACATATCTGAAAATGACCACAAAGATCAATTCCTCCTCTCTAAGTGTCTTAACCTTGTCGTGTTCAAATCGGCTCGGATTCTTACGGCGCGAATCCGAACATAGAGCCAGTTATGTAAGAAGGAATGGAAAGAAGCCCCAGTACCAAACAGATTATTGGATTTGTAACAAGATAGCGGCCGTGCTACTTGATCCTGGCACACGCATCGCAGTGTTAATGTTGGAGGTCCAGCATGCCTGGGTGAGCAGAGGACAGATGGGGTCACTGCCACCTGCCTATCTCTACAGAGTGGGAAGCTTGTGATGCAACAGTGAAATGACTGAAGAAATTATTAGACTCACAGTCACGGTAAGCGAAAGTCAAAACTATTATAAGACTGACAAAACATTCTGCGACAGTAGTAAAACTTGAATTTCAGAGCTCACAATGTTGAAGTACCAACAGGCAATCATTTGACTGCATTATGCAAACGCTTCATCTGATCCCTGGAGGAAGAAAATCTTGTTGGTTTGCTAGAAAAGCTCATTAAAATGGCATTTGATGCCAACTTTAGGAAAATTTAGTACAACTAGAATTACATAATGTTAATATTCAAATATTGAAAATGAGTTATGTGCGTTAAAACACTGAATGCTACATAGACTTGTAAGTAGTTAGAGCACCATTCCAAACAATGGCTCCTCTTCCCTAAAGGGCTCTCTTTTTACCATAAGCAAACAAAGCAAAAACTCAGCATGAACCCTGAGTCAATTTCTGTTTACTTGGTTCCCATCTTTAACCTTCCAGCTTGATAGCACGAAATCCCAACCACCCTTCAAATATTCAACCTTTTTTTATCAAAGATGTGATGTTATGTTTTGTGTACTCAGTAAGTAAAGTTTTCATGAGTATAAAAGTTCTGGCAAGTTTCAAAGTCCATTCAAATGTGATTTATCCACTCCCTGAGGAGACTATTTTCCAAACTGTCTGAAATGCCTGCGTTTTAGTCCAGGCTTCCTTTTCTGAACTTAGTGACATAAAACCAAAATGTATTCCCCTTATACTTGCTTGAACCAGCTAGAATCAGTATCTCTCTTTCTCTTTTTGGGCTAGGGTTAAGGTTAGGGTTGGCTTAGACCAGTAAGACCTGTAAGGTGTCACTGAGATGGACAGCACAAGACATGTAAATGCAACATGTCGAAAACTTTTCATGGCATTCCTTATGCTACGACATACAAATGTCCGCCTCATATGTCACAATCGATGTCATCCTGTTGGGGCTCGACATATTCTTACCATCAAATCCTTCCAATGCAGCAGGGGACTAAAAGAGACCAATACTCCAAACCCTGTAGGGATTTTTTAGGATTGGGCTTTACAGCACTTACATGGCATTTAGAGTTGACGTTTTACTTGAAACCTTTCAGAGGTAACTACAAATGCAATGTGAACATTTTGTGATTTAGAAATTCATAATTCCATTTAACAGAAGCACTCGGTATCTCCCTGCCGAACGCCCACACTTTGACCGTTAGAAGCAGATGTACTGTAGCAGCAAAAAAAAAAGCAATCGGAGCTCATGGTGAATCTCAGGTGAGCATGTCTAAGTTTTCAGGCTAAACCGTCCTTCAACCGCCCGCCATGAACTCCTGTGCAGCGGCGAAATGTCGCACATGAGCGGCTGCCTGGAGAAAACAAGACAACTCTCGTGTTTCAACACATCTCCTGGATGCCGTTTGAGGCAGACGTAGGAGACCTGCAATTTCGCTCTTCACGTTGAGAACAAGAGGCCGATTGTGCGAACGCCAGTGGACACTTTAGCTCTGCTTGGAGGATGAATTATTCATCAGAGGTTCGGCAGGGGAACGCTGAGCTTTGACAGTGGAAAATGACTTGAGCCGAGACCTCGTCTGTGTCCGGCGATCCTCACGTTTGAGAACTCTGAAACGGTCTGCGTTATTATCGAGAAATTATTTTGAGCCTGTTTTCATGAATTTCATTCCTTGAACAGCATCCATCATGATAGCGACCATCTACCTTCTCATCAAAGGGGCATGTTTGGAAAAGTTTTACTAAAAAGTTTATTTTTCTTTATCCCTGCATGCATTTCTTTCTGGTGTAAAATGGGTATGGCCTTGGTGGGGGGAAAAAAAACTTATGGGACATCAGTGGGATCTCTGATATTCTAATTCCTGCCTGTGCAGTCCCAATGGTGCAGATGTTTCTTTACATCTTTATTTCTGTAAATTAGGAGGATCTGTTTATCTTTTGTTGTTGTTGTTACAAAAGGATTTTAAAGGCTTTTACCCTCTTACATCTGACAGCTATTCTTTATGTACGTTTTTTATATATGTTAATTATAGTTTTCAGATATCTGTGTTGAGCCTGTTTCTTGAAAACATCTCAGTTAGTGGATAATCAGTGGTTTTAGATTTGAATCTTACCATGCAGTTTACAGGATCATGTTGCAAGTAAGATCAAATTCTGGAAAGAATCCAATCTCTCCGTAACAAAAGGAGCATCCTCGCACCTATACATTGTTAGGAGGGAAAACACGAGAACAAGGTCACTCTGGTTGAACTGCTCTTTAAACCCATCTTCAGGTTTCATGTCAACAGCTGCATTAAAAAAGCAAGACAGACAAACCATAGCTTCTTTATGTGAATCCATACATATTTTTTTCAAATGCACAACAATCTCAAGCAATCTCGATCTAAGGCAAGTTCCGTGTTCATTGTTTTGCAGCGTTTCACTGTTTCTGCAGGTATATTTTTTATTTAATTATCCAGATTATTGGCAAAAACAACGGTTAAGTTTGTTTGCAAATGTGTAACTCATTGATTTTTTTATGTGCAAGTCCAGTGACAAAATTTCTTCTGTGGCTATTGTCAGGTCGACTAGAAAAAAAACTCACTAAACCGGAACTCAGTGGAATGCCTCAGACTCCTGCAGTCTACACTGTAACTGAGCTAACAGAGGTTGCTTTCACGTGATAAAACGTCTTCTCCCCACGTGCTCGGTCCCCACCCCGAGGCCTCATTGTTCTCCCCGTGTTCACATCCAGCGCATTTATAAGCTGCTTGTTTCTTTGTGTTGCAGCCCTGCAGGAGCGTCTCAGCATTTCTAAGTAGAGCCGCCGGTGTACCGCTCGGCTGATCTCATTTTCAGACACGTGTAATCTCTGTCTTCGCGCATAGGTTAATGACAGTTTATCAATGAGCCGCAGGTCCGAATGGCTGCCCTGTTGCTGCATGAGTTCACATGACTGACAAAAACGGCATGCCCCGAACAGACCTTTGGCTAACTAAGCGTTCATTTGGAATAATATCTTTTATTTTTTCGCGAAATTAAGGTTAAATTGTTCTCTTCAGGCTACTGTACACACTGTAGGCAAAGAAGGTTTTGGGCACAGAAGCCCAACATTTTTGCAACGTTAATGTTTGACTGAGTCTGGTTCTCCGTTCTGATTACATGGCAATGGTAGATTTAGCCCATATACCCTTCTCCCACCCTGGAAAAGTAATTCATCGAGCTTGGACCTCAAAATCCAACATAGCTGCCCTCCTCAATCGAAGTTGTGATCGTTGCAGCTATCTGTCAGAACTTCTGTCACTTTCAGAGTCCTCAAATCTGTCACTTACAGGGCAAACACTTCTGGGGGAGTGTGTATGTCCAAAACACAGTTTGATGCTGTAATCAGATTGCTATTAATGTCCACAGCTAACAGACTACAGCTTAGGCACAAAGAAGC